GATATAACCGCCTCCACTGCCACAGCCCCTCACAATGTTTCACTCATCTGCCTCTGTATTGTTTGCTCAGATCTTCAAACCTCCACTTCAATAAGCCAATTGTCTTATTTTCCCCTCGTCCGCTCAGCAGAACTTAGATTAAAGTTTTCAATCCCTTTCAACAAGAGAAACAACCATTTAAACCTCAAACTGGTTCAAACTGAACCATCTCAACCGTCAGCTTTTTAGAAGGGACACACATTGCGCTGGAAGAAGTATTAGGACCATTTTATCAACAAGTAGTACAAATAGTAAAAGTACTCCATTGTAAAAGAAATGTACATTTAACTTATATTGCAGTAAATGAGTATTATCAGGAAAATGTAGTAAAAAATTAACTACATTTTATGTTTGTATAGGATTACAATTTATTTTTGGTTTAAATTTTTCAGCAACAATCAATAATAAAAAAGTAACTCAAGATCTCAGATATATTTAGTGAAATAAAACCTTCAAAATATTTCCCTGAAAAAATACACATCCCTCACATTTTGGACAGTCAAATTACTCAGTTTCACTTCCTCACTTATCTGGAATTACACTGTAAATAATTTCATTTTTGGGCCCCATAATGCCACCGCTTCCTAATTAACCTGCACTGATTTTGAAAGCTGCTTCCGCTGGTGATTTCATTTAAATTACAAATCTCTCCGTCTCCTCTTTGCTGCATCGCTGTTTCAACTGTTGACCTGTGAAATTCACTTTAGTAGATTTAAAGGAAGTGTGTATAACAGTTCAATTTCTTCTGTGTGTGAGCCGCTCTCCTTGGGTTCATTCTTGGCTCACCAGCACGCTTGGCAGCAATTTTTCAAAGACTCTTTACACACACACACACACACACACACACACACACACACACACACATACAGACACACACACACACACACACACACACACACACACACACACAACACACACAGAGACAAGCTCTCACACAGTTCAGGGTCTCAGCGGTCCGACTGTGGCCTTGTAGATAGTAGAGTTTTGGTTCGAGAGCAGAGAAGAGGAAGAGAAAATGATGAGAGGAAAGGAAAGGAGAAACAGTAGTAGGAAGGAGGAGGAGGATAAAGTAAGAAAACATGAGGAGGAGAAAAAAGGAGTAACGGAGGTAGGGAGAAGTTGAGAAAAGAGGTATTTATATAGATCTTATAGATTAGAAGCTGGAGGCAGAAAAACGCCTGAGGGAAGAAAAAAATAAATTGGACGGAGAGAGACAGAGAGACAATAGCTGCATGAAATTGGATTGAGAAACAAAATGAGAGATAACAAGAAAAGGAAAGGAAGCAGAAAAAGAGAGAAAATATATAACACTGAAAGAAAAGTTAAGGATGAAATAAATACTTAAGAAGAGTCAGAAAAAAAGAAAACAGATTTTAAAAAAGTGAAAGGAAATGTTTCAACAACTCAGATACAGAAGTAAAGATTGTTTTAAAAAAAGAGATAATATCTGTCTTGACAATAGCAGCATCAAGTTTTAAAGGACAATAACGGAGAACTAAAAAAGAGGTATTGGAAATAAATGGTGACTGGTCATGAAAAATGGGAGCAAAAACAAAAGTGTTGCATTTATATTTTTGTTCAGTGTATCAATGATTTTCTGTCGTGCCCTAAGGTCCTCTTCAGCTGGCTATTTAAAAATTCCAAAAGTCCCCCAATATAAAATGGGAGTATGGAATCAGCTTTTATTCACACCTTGTGTATGAAAAGCGCCATACAGATAAAGACGTCAAATCGGTTTATAATATTTCAGCCATTAGGGAACTTGAGCGTCTGTTTAAAAATGCATGGCAATCTATCAAAAGGTTATTGAGTTATTTCAGTCCGGACCAGAGTGGTGGACCCACTGACCCACTAACACTGCGACAGTAACGCTAACAGAACAGCAGAACATGACAAGACAAACAGAAAGGGAGGATGAATAAAGAGATCAGAGATAAAAGATTGAAACACAAGAAGAGAGAGGGACAAATTGAGAGGTGAAGATGGAGACAGACAGAGAGACATAGGGATTGAATGGAGGCGTGCCAGCAGTGCTTGGACAGCAAATAATTTGCAGAGCTACAGATTTCCAGGCCGCCTGTCAGTGTGTGTGTGTGTGTGTGTGTGTGTGTGTGTGTGTGTGTGTGTGTGTGTGTGTGTGTGTGTGTGTGTGTGTGTGTGTGTGTGTGTGTGTGTGTGTGTGTGTGTGTGTGTGTGTGTGTGTGTGTGTGTGTGTGTAGAAATGTTGTCTGCATACACATGTGTATCTGTTCTTGTCTGTATTTTGCAGGCTCGAACAGCGTCATATATGCTGACGTGTGTGTGTGTGTGTGTGTGTGTGTGTGTGTGTGTGTGTGTGTGTGTGTGTGTGTGTGTGTGTGTGTGTGTGTGTGTGTGTGTGTGTGTGTGTGTGTGTGTGTGTGTGTGTGTGTGTGGTGTGTGTGTGTGTGTGTGTGTGTGTGTGTGTGTGTGTGTTATTTTTACCCCTCTATTTAAAATCTGCTTGGGGATGCAGAAGCGCAGGAAGTGAGTGTCGTCTCAGTTTCCTCCAGTGAGCTCTATTTCTCCTCCACAACTCGTCTGCTGCACTACTACTGTCTGCCATCCTTTCTCTCCCATGATGCATCACTCCTTCCTATACATTCATCCCTTCAGCAAGCATTTTTTGCATCTATCTATCCATCTAAGACGTGTCCCTAAATTAGGCAATGTCTTCTTGGGGTTTTTGGTTATACGCAATTGACCTCCCCAAGTTGTTATACTTTAAAGTCCTAAAGAGGAAAACAAATATGAATATTAAGTTTGTTTTAATGATTAAAAAACACTTATATTTGTATTCTTCCATATCCCTTCAATTATCACTGTTTTGACATATCTTGATAATATACAAATATTTATTCTATGGAATCAATCAATTTAAATAAAAAAGACTTAAAGGTAGAAGCAAACTAAATGTTTCTGCACTGACAGGTTCAATTATCTTATAACTACTCAGGTTGGTGGTGGAGTGACTGAACTTAAGACACAAATAGAATAAAGATTTAGTTGTAATGATTTGTGGTTACTTCACAGCACAAATAGTGGTCGTTTGTGTTTTTTACTGCCCTGGCTTGTCATCATACAAACCTAAAGTCCCAAAAGTTATCTTCTGCTTTTGCATTGAACTCCTCTCCTGTTTCTGAAGGACAGCAGTGTCTCCTTAATGCAGACCTCTTGTTGCACCAGCAGGTGAAAATAAAACCCCTAACAAACAGTTTCATCCGGATCTTTTTGCCCCTTCTCTCCTCACTTCCACATTACTCTCCGAAACATTATTCTCCAGCATTTGCCTGTTGACCCGCTGCAAGCCGGCAACCAATAGCGTCTCTGACACAGAGAAACAAGAACACAAAAGCACATCAGAGCTGAACAGTGACAGGTGAGGGTAGAGGTGTCTCCCTGGAGAAACACACAACATTCAGAGGTGTTTTTATCTCCCAGGAGAAGTGTTCTGAGGATTCACATGTTCTCCTGTATGTCATTCAGAGGTTATACTGTTAGACCCGTGCACTGTTTGTGTTGAAGTTTGCTGCTCTCAAGTAAAGCAGACCATTTGTATAAGAAAAAAGCTTCGCTGAGTGGTATTATTTTGTTTATCACAATCATATAATACAATGACTCCCTGTATACATACAGGCACAGCAGACTGTGTTATGGAAGTCCGAGGGTGCACACGTAACGGTACCGGAAAATGTAAATCTCCTACATTTGAAAAAAGTTGCAAGAAAATTATTTTGCGTCGAAATGTTTTATTTTTTCTTTCTTTTAAAGGGTCATATCAACTAAAGTACCGTTTCAGTTTAGTTGTATTTGCTTGTTCGATATTTCTCCCAGTTCCTCTGAATATACAAAGTTATCTGAAGATTATTGGATTTATAAAACCATGTATGATATGATGTATTGATTATTCGTAAAGCTCTGAATGGCCTCTGTGTTTGTGCGCTGGTACATACTTTGAGTTCGGAGAGTGATCTTCTTCCCTTCCCTAATTGCTTGGTTCCACATCTAGTATTGTTCAATTTCCGATCAAACTTAGCACGAGACATCTTCAACGTCCCTGTGGAAACCACTTGTAGATGCAGTAGAAGACTTGCAGCTAAACAACCTGGTGAATGTCCCAGGAACCATATTACTGTGTACCTGAAGCATGCTCTTGATGCGTCTCAGATCTGAAGCTGAGAGTTAAGAAGATCTGTTTTGCATGTTACTCTGTCCCACATAATTGGAGTATGCTTGAATAAAACTTAAAAGGACATAACATAAAAGGTTTAATAGCTTGTCTTATTGACCATTACAGTGTTTGCTTGTATTGCTTTTTATTGATATAGCAATGTATTCTTCTGTAGCTGCTGATTGAGCATTATAGTTCTCCTTCAATGAGTTCTCCGAGGTGTTAGATAAAATAAAAAGATCCTCCAGCTGAGGTTTCTCATCGTGTTTTGTTCTTGAGGGCCCAGCTAAAAGACTAAAGCGAACAGAGTGCTTACAGTCGGGGCCCCGAGGCTCTGGAACAATCTGCCCGAGGAAACAGGTCGGTGTCACTGATCTCCGTTAAGTCCCTTCTCGAAACATCCTTTTATCTGAGAGCCTTTCTGATTTGACTTGATATCATTTCCTTTTCACTCTCCTTTATTTCCACTAAAAATCTTCGTCTTTTCCCAATTATTAACTTGTTCCACTATATTGGTGTTATACTATAGCCACCAAATTGTTTTTTCTTCTATAAAACATGATTTAGGACTTTTCAGCTTTTAATTTTACTGCCTTTATGAGGCACTTTGTACCTTGGATTAAAAAAATGTATAACTACATATATTATATATTTATAATATTATATATTTATTTGATTATTATGATTCCTACTTAATATACACACTTTGTAAACATAATTATTAAATACTCTTAGAGTTAACAGAGATTCTCACTGTTAGTCATGATTAGGGATGGGTATCGAGAACCGGTACTAAGTCAGTACCGGTACCTGATTGGACGGTATTGGTATACCGTTAAGCCGCTGGACAAACGGTGCTGCTATCGGTATATGAATTAGGCTACTTCCTTAGTTCAAACAATTCTGGTTGGTTGGGAACCCCGTGTGGGCGTATCCGGTTTGAGTACAACTCTGATTGGCCATTGTTAATGCCACTCGTCATCTCTCCTAACAGCGCTGTTATTATTGTGAGACTCCCGGGGGCAGACCATAGGGGCAGACGCAACATCTTGCTAGAAACAGTGTCTCAAGGCTTCTTAACATTTAACAACCTATTAATGATGCATACCCACTTAACGGGAAGAAACTCAGCTAACAGACGATATTAACCATTTTACCTACACGGAACAGAAGTCCAACACCAAGAGTCTAAATCAACACTTAGTAAAACGGGCTGACGGGGCTAACAGGGCTAACGGCTACTTTAGCACATAACTAGCAAAAGCGATCTTTTCTATATCATTTTATCGACACAAACAACATATCACATGAAAGCTGAGATTCCCCAGATTCCATTGGTATAAGTCTCATCACTGTACGACCAAAACTCACTGAACTAGCAGCCAGGAATGAGCAAGAAAACAACTTCACTTTACTTAGCCATGATGATAATGATGTCTTACCTTTGCTGTTTTGTGATCAAAAGTTGTGTTCAAGGGCATAAAAACGGTTAATCCAATGTCTCTGTGTAACTTTAAAATTATTACTGATAATCGATCATTACATTTATAAATAATAAACGCAATAAACAGATTATGGTTAGCCGACCGGAGCTTCCGGTTTAGGAGGTGCGCACGCAGCGTCTCGTTTTAACTGAATAATGGTCATGTTTACATGGATTTATGAACTGCCCCTAATTACCACCCCCTTCCAGAGACACACTGTCAAACACACTCATACCTGACATTGAAAAAGTTACATTAAATAATAAATACAAATAATAAATTACAATAAAATGACTGTTGTTTAATCTTCACATCTTGTAATCATGTCTATGATTTTGAGCACCAAATTATGAAAAAGTATCGATAAGATACTCTAAGAGTATCGAAAAATACCGGTATCGATAAGCAGTATCGGTATCAGTATCGATAAAATCCTAACGATACCCATCCCTAGTCATGATATACCCTTGCACCAACATTATTATTACCTGTGTTTAATGATCTCTTTATTTATTTCTGAAGATGCATATGGCTGCCAATGGCTTTTCAGTTTGGTCCCATGTTGCAGATTCTGAGATTTGTCCATATTATTTTGTGTTTGAAAGAGTTTTTTCTGCATGAAGAAGATCTGAATGTTCAAATTGCAACCGAAAATTTAAATAAATAAATCGTCAGGGCGAAGATTAATGCACACATTTCCCCTTTGGAAACTTCCTGAAAAATGAAATGTTGATACATGGAGACGCTTGAGTGATTAAAGAAAGAAAGAGCACAAGCACCATTATTAAACATGACTTCCTGTCGCCCTCAGGTACATCCACGCCCTCTACCTGGGAGCCCAGAGCCGCTGGCACAGGAGTGGGCCGCTCCACCACTTCCACTGGCGGCTGATGTTCGAGAGCGCCGACATCACCATGCTGCGCCTCCTGGAAGCCTTCCTGAAGTCCGCCCCGCAGCTCGTCCTGCAGCTCAGCATCATGATCCACGGGAACATCGTGCACCCTCTGCAAGGTGAGCCACACACACTTCCTGTCCCACTGTGAGAGGTGTGACACATCAGTTATCAATATAAATATAATGAAGTCAGACTGAGCAACAAGGGATGCAAAGAAACCAGAGTATTTGAACCACTTTACGACAATGAATGTTTTGAGTAAAATGTTGATATCGTTGAAAAAATATATAAAAATAAGATGTTAAAATTATAAATATAGGATACAAGTTTTGTAATTAGACAGAATGATGTGTGTGTGTGTGTGTGTGTGTGTGTGTGTGTGTGTGTGTGTGTGTGTGTGTGTGTGTGTGTGTGTGTGTGTGTGTGTGTGTGTGTGTGTGTGTGTGTGTGTGTGTGTGTGTGTGTGTGTGTGTGTGTGTGTGTGTGTGTGTGTGTGTGTGTGTGTGTGTGTGTGTGTGTGTGTGTGTGTGTGTGTGTGATGGGCAGATATCAGTAGGATAGTCTATGCTTTATTTATGCTTTCCTTGCAAGATACACAAGAAGCTTGGCCTTTGATGAATAAAACAAAACTCTCTGTTTCTATCACACACAACCACACACACACACACACACACACACACACACACACACACACACACACACACACACACGCACACAACCACACACAAACAGTCAACCCTCCAGCGTCCACACACACCTAGAGGCAGAGAAGTGAAGTGTCGGACACATATTTGAATTGCAAAGTGGAAACAGTTGCAGGACATATAAAAAAGCTACACAAATACACACAAACACGTCTCTGACAAAAACACATGTTACACACTGAGAGATATGCATCATTTGTTAGTTATTCAACACCAAAATGCTACGAGAGGACACCGGGGACAGTGGCTGACAACACTCGGTGTAGAATAATATAATTTATGGAAGCTACATTACATGTTGTAATGTGGCTAAAATTAGCCTAACTTTTTGGCAGCAGCTCTCCCCCGGGGGTATGATAAAGTAATTATTTGTTAACTCTTCCTGAAGATATGATCTCTCTCCATGTGACATTTGAAAATGAGGGTTGATTATGATCTTGCCTCATTTCCTCTCTTTCTCTCTCCTCCATCTCTGCCTTTATAGTGCTCACAGGAAATATCGATGCACACACACACACACACACACACACACACACACACACACACACACACACACACACACACACACACACACACACACACACACACACACACACACACACACACACACACACACTCACACAATTTGAGGTCTATTTACGGTAACAATAGTTGGGAGGGTTACTTTAAAAAAGTATTCCATTACAATAACTAATGACCTGTTTAAAGATGTTATCAGTAACCTAATCTGAGTATCAAGATATAAAAGTAATGTAACCTGAATCCTTTCTGGATTATCTCAAGATCAAATGTGATGCATATAAATAAAAGAGAAAATAAATATCAATATGTTTTTAACTTGAACCTATTATGCTTATTTTCAGGTTAATATTTGTGTTTTTTATGAAAAGTGCTTTATTTTTCTGTTTGAGAGAGAGCCCAGTCTGCTCTGATTGGTTAGCTGGCCGGCTCTGCAGTGATTGGTCAACCGCTAAGAGATGTCCCGCCCCTGAGCCTATCATGTACAATGTTTTGGAGCGCTAATCATATTCATGTCAATATGCTACAGAAGTAAAAAGAGGAGTCCAATAGAGACGTAAGGGAATACATTTGTTGTATCCTGATAATCCAGTTACATGTAATCGGTTACTCCCCAAGCCTGATGGTTACCTACTATCTGTTAATAGACATAATGTTTCTAAATGTTGGCACGTCCATTAAACAATACAGACTGCCCTACACACATTGCATCCTCTCGGTACTGATTTGGCTGATTGATTTATTCATCATCCAAAAATGAATAAACTATCTGTACTGCCAATTAGTTATGTGTCATCTCTTAAATATAAATCCTTAACATGTGCTGGTTCCAGTTTCTGCAAGTGTTGAGATTTGTTGGGATTTCCAAGCAAAAAGGCTTCATCTGTCTTTTTCTACCCATAATCCTCTTGGTTTTGGGTTATTTTATTCTGTCGCTGCTGTAATATGTTTTCTCAAGCTGCACTCCTGGAATTATGTCATGTAATGTGTCTAACTTGTACACGTAGGTCGGGTTTATCAATGTTAATATAAGCAGGAGGGGATTATGTGTATGTGTGCTTGCAACATGTACGACAATTGTGTTTTTGTGAAAGTCAAAATTGTTCCTGAATGATGCTGGTACACAAATATATATATATATATACAAATATCTAAATGTCCTGCATCACAATCCTTAAAACACAATTTAAAAATATGCAACCAATAACTCAATGATGAAGTGCATCCATACTGTGAAATAAACTTTTAAAACGTTCTTTCCAACACTTTTTATGTTGTATTTCTGCGTTCTTAAAAAATAAAAAATAAAAATATAAATATTTTTCTCAAAGAGCATAAGCTGGAGTTGACAAACACACTTAAATCCCAAAAAGAAATGTGGCCATTAGAAAACACATTTAATGAATAAAGGAAAAGTACATAGCTGCAGAAGTACTTGTTTCCTGTTAAAAGACACCATTTTGACCTAAAACTAGTCGTTTTCAAAGCTGAAACTGGTTTTCAACAGTTAACTAAATCAAATTTCAGTAAGTCTCAACATGCGAGCAATATTCAACTTCTCTTTGGTGTCTTCATTAAAAACCCCAGGGTCCTGAAAATTACATTAAAATGCAAAGTCCATGCAGCTCTTACCCTGCTCACATTTTAATGCCTTCTCGTGTGATTCATGGCTAATTTGAGACAAAACTGCATGATTAACGACCATGAATGTTTAATGCATTAATCTGCGCTCTGGGCGGCTCGCAGTTACATGTGCGGGCTGACGATCGTCTGACTTCAGTAGAGACTGGTCTGGGTCATTCTGAATGAGCATGTAAAGCATGTAAGTTGACCCTGAGTTATTATCATTTTTGTCATGGTCTTCCCAAGGTTCTTTTTCCCCAAGGACTCACTTGCATCATCTACCTTACAAATATATTGTACTTGTGTACTGCATTTTCCTTGTTACTGATTGGCCAACATGTAAAATACCAATATATCTGCAAAACTTTGGATATAATTCTGTCTAACAATGTCACTGATTAGAGTTGACAGCCCAACAATTATGGTATCATGTATTTCTTTTTGGTTTTCATGTCAATGTCAATGTCTTTCTATCTTTCTTTCTTTTCCCCCTTCATCACGCAAATGTATTTCTATTTGTGTCTCCCCCCTCCTTGCCTCATAATTGTTTCCTCTGTCTCTCTCTTCCTGTGTGTCTGCAGGTCTCTCGGCTTCGGCCTCCCTGGTCTCTCTGGCCTGGATGATCGCCTCGTACCAGAAGGTTCTCCGAGACTCCCGCGACGACAAGCTGTCGATGTCTTACAAGGCCGTGATCACCCAGATGCTGTGGCACTTCTTCACCATCGGGGCGAGGACTGTGGCCTTTGCCCTCTTCGCCTCCGTCTTCCAGCTCTACTTTGGCATATTCATCGTCAGCCACTGGTGCGCCCTAAGTGACCTCATGCAAAGAGTCTGGGTCCACAACGACAAGTTTAGAATTAGCACTTTATATCACATTTTTAACAGATATCAGAGGTTTTTTTTATCCTTTGAGTTAATGATTTAATGATTTTCTGCGAACATTGACTGAATTGACATTTAACAAATATCTGCCATCTTGTACAGTATCTTAACAGCAGGTTTACAGCAGAAGTAGGAGATTATTTATTTATGCAGACTCTTTCCAAATTAGGGGCCTTAAGAGCAATGGAATTTATGAAATACTGAAAGATTATTTGATGTTGAAACACAACAACAACAACAACAACAACAACAAAAATAAATACCAAAATAATAATGTTTGGAGGAAGACTTTATCTACTTTGAGATGAGGAATGGCCTGGCTTTGTGAAACTAGTGTAACCTCAAAGTCATTAAAAGTATTTTAAGTAAACACATTATTCTTGTCATTATAAAAATCACAGGAGCTGACTACAGTTTTGTCTTTCAGGTGTGTCATGACCTTCTGGATCATCCAAGGTGAGACCGACTTCTGCATGTCCAAGTGGGAGGAGATCATCTACAACATGGTGGTGGGCATCATCTACATCTTCTGCTGGTTTAATGTCAAAGAGGGCCAGAGTCGCTTTCGTATGACCGTCTACTACTCTGTGACGCTGGCAGAAAACGTGGCGCTGACCGCCGCCTGGTACACGTACCGCGGCCAGCAAACCTCCGACTCCTCCGCCCTGGTGGTGGTGTGCCTGGTGGCCTGCAGCTTCGCCCTGGGAACCTTCTTCATGTTGGTGTACTACTGCTGGCTGCACCCTGATGGGCCAGTGCTGGGCACGCAGTGGGGAGGGTGTGTGGATGAGGGTGTGGTGGGTGCGGGGAGCGTAGTGGGAGTCATTGATTCTTGCATCACCCCATCCCAAGGGTCGCAAACCGACATGGTTATTACCAGCCCTCCGAGGACCCTCCCCAGGACTAAAGACACGGGGGAGCCGGTTCCAGGGGAGAGAGACAAGGACAGAGATAGGGACAGTTGCCTTCCTGTCTTCCAGGTACGTCCTTCCCCTTCATCCTCTCCTGCACTCCTTCACAGGACCTCCTCATCATCCCGCGCCCAAGAAGGCCCTGTGATCCGGATTGACCTACCGAGGAAGCGATACCCAGCCTGGGATGCACACTTTATTGATCGGCGCCTCCGGAAGACCATTCTGATATTGGAGACCACGTCAGCTGTCAGCCCCAGGATACAGTACAGGTGTAGCATGATGGGCAGCAAAGAGGTGTTAGAATATGAGACAACTGTCTAAGCCAGCAGGGGCTTTAAACTTAAAAGTGAATTCTGGGACCAAGGCTCAGCCGAGAGATCAGTTCTCATCCCAGGACAACCTATGCCAGGAGCAGCATGTTAAAGGAGACACAGAGTGTCGGGCAACTCTTCATTCAAAAAAGAGGTTGTCAAAACTTGATTGTAAAATGTGAGGCGCAATCTGGGACCAAAGCTCTCCCCCTTAGGGCGCAGTCCAGGAGTACGTAGCATGAATGAGTCGTAGGAAGTAAATGGAGAAACACTGAACTGGGATAATCTTTGGTGAGAAATGTAATCTCTCATCCTGGGACCAAGGAATGTTAGATTTAGTTTCATCCTGCATGGTCAGAACAAGGAGTAAAAGGACTTGAGAGCGATGAAGTTGTGGAGTTTGATATATCTGAGAAACAGTTTGCTGCATGAACATGAGCCGTGGGCCACAGAGAGCCTGCAGAGACTTACCAGGGAACTCTGAGAGGCTTTGCACGGGACATGCAATCATTTGGTTTGATGACAACTCAGACAATGACCTACATTTGGGGCTCACTACCCAATATAATATATACCCAAAACATATTGCTTTAGATGTCTTGTTTCAACCACATTTAGCCCAGTTTTAGCCAAGGCGTCTAGATTTCTTTGTACCTCCAAATTTATAATTCAATGTCAATTGAGTCTATAGATTTTGTATCAATAATTGTTGTTATTTAGCAAGGAGAGAGGGATAACATTTTACATTTGTGTACCATCCTGTTTCAAACGGTTGCATGTCCCTCGCAAACTTCGGTAACAAACCTACAAGCATTCTGTTGGTGGTGTCTAAAGAGAAATGTACTCTTTTACATTTAACTTTAGTCTCATGACACCAAGAGAACCCATTAAATATACTGTAGGCTCACAAGTCCATATGGTTTCTGAAAAAGCCTGAGATTCAAGTGATAATGGTCACCCATCCATATGTGATTGAAAAAAAAAGCCATCGCAAAAGTCCTACTGTTTGCATCCCAGCTGCTCTGTCCCCACAACCTGAGAAAGGACTTGTTTGGGAATATAAATCTGGTCTGGATGTAAAGTGGATGACTTCTGCATTGGCTCCCATCATATGGCATGCTGTAACTCACCACAAACAGGCCTGTGATGTATAGTAGAATAAATACAGATGTCAGATATAAGCTATTATAATAAGCTGTAGTTAGGTGATGAATGACGTTTGGATGAAGAAGCTTCATTTACTCGTTAGAGTCTAAATGTCGTCCATTTTTCTTGGAAAACATTTAATGTAAAGGTATGAAGGGAATCATGAACAACCTCATTATGCTATGAAAACATTTTCCAGTGTTTTGTTTTTGGACAGAACAGAAGCTGATGAAATTAGCTTATAACCATGTCAACAAACCTTGAGGACTCGAAAGGTTTGTTAAAACGTGGATACATCCTAACAGCACTAGGATTCATCTAGTAAGCAGTTAACACAAGGAAATTGATAACAACAGCTCAAAGAACCAGGATTGCTTTTTAAACGCTAGCAAGTTGGCAAAAGCTGCTATATGTTGTTACAGATAGAAAGTTGACAATGGTTTGCTCTTCTTGAGAGATGACATTGTTTACAAAACGAAAACCATATACAGGCCTTTGACTCAACGTCGATATTGGCAGATTCAGGTTTGAGTGACATAATCTGTCAACTGACTGAAAAATTATATGAGAAACCATCTTGGCTCCTTTTAAACTGTGATTGAAAGGGTTAGGGTTGTGATACCCTGAAGAGAGGAGCCACAACTTGAACTAATTCAGTGGAGCTTATCTGCAACTAACTTCAGAGGTTGAAGTTTAAAAATGTGAATGTGTTACTATTTGAAAGCAGCTACATAGAGGTGCTGAGAAAGTCAAGCATGGTCAGCACCAGTAGTGAAGGAACACACAAAACGCTAGCCTCAATGCTAATGTGTCCTCTCTCATATTACACATCAGATTTCTCTTTGGCAGTCTCTCTTTGAAGTTATTCTAAAATACATTATTTTCTTTAAAAGCCTTTAGCGTTAGTCTGTGCATTTAAGGTGACTTGTGATTTGTTATGGTGTGGGAGTTCTTTAAGTCCATCCCAGAAACATTTAAACCAATGTTGTGATTGTTTTAGATAAAGGCAGCAGAAGGTGTTAGCATTTTTAGCAATGCACTCAAAAGCATTTCTCCCAAGAGCATTACATTCCCCATGTGATCCTGGTTTTATCTCAAAAAAGCATGTTCATCTAAACACGTTTGAAGATGCATTGGACAGTGTATGATTTCAGTTCATGAAATTATTTGTTTATTAAACTTAGTTGCTGAATTACCAAGATTCTTACATCACATACCATCAAGCATTTAGAAGATGCCAATGTTCAGGGGGTTACCACTTCAGGGTTGACTGACACGAGCACAAATCCCAAAATATTAAAGCACAGTCATAACAACCTGCTATCAAGTACAATGACTACAAATGGCATTACAACTTAAATATTGACACTTCCCTTACCCTTTTTAAACTTGGTGCAGGCTTACCATCAACATTTTAAGTGCAAAAACTAAGAAAATCAGCTCAACAACAAGCACGTATAAATCTGTTCGCCAACTCCGACCTGACGGCGAATAACAAGAACATGATTTGGGCAACGTAGTTTACTTTTTTGGGTCATAAAGTTCTCAAAACTCAAACAGTGCGGTATCCAGTGCGGGTGTAATTATCCCTTTAATGCTGATGATGCGTATGTATATTTTGATGTGTCAAAGACTCCCAAGCAAAGCATTTTCAAACGTATGTACTTGAGGTTAATGAGAAGAACAAATCACTAAGCAGTGTTTCCACTACATGGTATGGCTCTACTTATCCACTCACTTATTTTTGGTTTGCCATAAGGAAAGTTGAAGACAATACTTGGTACCAGCTCAGCCGGGGTTTCATGCATACGGCAATAAAAGTTGACGTTACATAATTGAAGACCACTGATTGGTTTGAAAGAAACAGCACTAGCATGTTGCAACAAAGTACCGTCATAGCAATCCTCTTTTTTTCACTCAATCGAAATTCAATGAGTCTCCCGTGTGTCACTACGGACAACAGCTGATCTACAAAACTAAAAACAAAACGCCTCGCTCCAAAAGTGAGTCAAGTTGAGTCGAATTGAGCCATAGCATGCATTGGAAACGGGGTTTGAGAGCAGTTTGTATACTTGCTTTTTAACAAGCGGCTGTGATGCAAGCAGGGTTGAGGTCGGACATGATAATTATTTATATACTTACCTACATGATTTTAAATCTACCTCGGGAATTAAAACGTGTATGTGCTAGGTGTGAATCATCCCCAGCTCACAGAACATAATAAATAACAAATAAAGGATGCTACTCAACAGTTAATATTCTTTTAGATTGTCTTCCAAACCTGCTGCCCTGCCTGCACTGTTCATGTTTCCAATTGATGCTTTAAAGGATCACTGGGTATACAGTGTGACCATTATGCAAACTTGAGCATTGTTAGAAGCAAGTGTATAAACGCTCTGTCCCTCAACACGTTTGTGGATGTTATTCCCAATGAAGGCAAGGACAAAAGGTCTAGAGTATAAGCTCTCCTCACACAGATGTGGGTCTCCTTTGCAGGGAAACTGGTGTGTCATTTTGACTCTGCTTGGTGGTAACGGGAATATCAGAAATCAGGATAACAAATAAAAAATGAATATTGGTAATAACTTGGTAATTATAGTTGTATTATCCTGACTGTGTTGTGTCCTACCTGAACTTGTGGATGTTGATACAGTGGTGACAGTCACTGCAATGTTAATGGTGCTGAAAACAACGCCTCTATGTCGACACTGATTATGTCATGTCAAACATGATAATGTACAGATAATGCATATGTGAACTACCCAGTCTGAGGCCAAGGGCGAAGCTTCTCTTTCTCTGATTGGATAATAAATCAGTCCTTTGTCGTTGAGGTAAAATAACCGTTAAAAGTGGTGCGCTGGTTATACTGTATATCAACTTGAGCAAAAACATGTTAAAAAGTAAGTGAGTTCAAAACTCAAATCATCTTTTATTAATTGATGCAAGTATTTATGTTTATTTTTGTATTTGTTTTATATCTATGTATCTATTGTTTACTCACTCGGTGGCCATGTCTTTGGTATGACTCTTATATTAAGATGTAAAAACTGAAAATAGATTTTTTTTTAACTCATTCTATATATCTGTATATACCAGAGTGGCGCTATACTAGGATGTGTATGTATGAGTATGTGTGCTTTGGTTTGTATGTATGTATTGTATGTACAGTATGAGGATGTGCTCTAAGTTCTTTTGATAATGCTGCTTAAACATCCTCTGAGTGATCGAGCAGAAAAATAAACCAGTGGTGAAAATATCTATGACGCTGTTATAAAAAAACAAAAAAACTCAGCAAGCTGTGCTGATAACTGTAGATGGGAACAAAACTGTAGTAAACATGGCTGAACAGCCGTCGAAATACACGCTGTGTCTGCGTTTTCTGTCACGGCCAGAGATGGGACAGTAATTACTCAATAAATTGAACTTGTACGTTTACTACATTGTTACCTATTTGGCTTTTGATAATGTAACATTTGAATCCAATGAAAGGAGTATTGTGTGAGGATTTGCAATTGGGAAAACAATTGGCACATTTCGTGACTTGCAAAATTAACTAAATGTGTTGTAAATGTGTTGTTTTTGTTATTATGTTGATAAAAGAAACGTGCTTTGGGCAGCATTTGTTCCTTCAAAGTGTATATGCTGTGGAAAAGTGAATAACTGTTCTGGAAAACAGGTTTGGTGCCATAACAAATCAAGATGCCAATGCAGACTATCAATGTAAAAAATATGTTGTTTTTATACTTCCAGGAACAAAAGAGTTCCATTTTAAACGTAACAAATATCATTATTTTACCATTGAATACATGATGTTAATGAACAGGCAATATAAATCAAGCTATTGCATGTCCAGGCATCCTTTTTAGAAAAGGTGTTGCCACTGCAGTGATTGCTTCGATTGTTAGGCCGAAAGCATGATATTTAGGGGTTGGCTTGACAGGCGTCTCAGCCAATCACTTTCAGTTACCTGTCTGTGAGCAAAAACGTGTACGAATCGTCAGTTTATTGGTGCTCGATTGACATTGTTACTCATAAAACAATGCGCTATAGTTGCCAAACTTAGATTGATCTCAAATTCAGAATTGTCTTTGTTACTTAATTTGAATCCAACAGGTTCTAGAAACCCCCCTCACTCTTGTCCAACATTATATCTCCACTGGGACAGGATCCTTTCTGTTTCTTACCCACCATGGTTTCCTGTATGTTTGGACTGTACCGAGGAGTTTCAGGTGTGAGGCGGAGCTGAAGCTGGAGCTCCACCAACCTTCTCCTCTTTTGCCCCCTTTCTCTTCTTTCTTGTCAGCCCTCCTCTCTCTTTCCTCACGAGGCGACAACACAAGATCTCTCCCTCAAACCAACATCCTTTGATCTCTCTTTCTTGCATCAGCATCATCCATCCTGAGGGTTTGGTATTTATTTGGCGTCTCTGGAGATCCAGCAACCAAACAACAATCCATCCTTCTATATTTCTTCTCCTCTACGTGTTTTTTCTGTAATTTCACTGTTTTCAGTCTGTTTTCTCCTCTTTTTGTCATAGCTGACAGAAGGGGATCAGAGCTGAGTGTCCCTCACACTTTAATCCATTTGTTCTTCATTTTTCCCCCATTTTTTCTAACTTATTTTTCCTCTCACTACCTCCTTAGACTATTCTGCCATCAGCCCTTCAGTTCTTTATTCCTCCTTACTTCTTGTACCACATATTTTCTATGTATTGATGTCTCCGTCCACAACCATTATGGTATTCCTGTATTTCTCTCGATCTTTGATTCATTTCATCGTCATCCTTTTTGATTTATCTGTCTCACCCCTCCTTCCTTTTTTAGTCATTTCCTAATTCCTTCCTTTGATTTCCATTAAATTGTACGTTTTGTTTTGTTGTATTGCATTCATCTAGTCTGTCTGCTATTGCTGTTGCATTCCACCTTCATTATTTCCTCCCTTGCTCCTTATTTTCCATCCTTCACTTCTTTCAAGTCTTCATCCCTTTTTTACCGGACTTCCTCTTCTTCCTTTCCTTCCTTCCTCACCTGTGTTCTTCTTCCTCCCCCTTATTTGATCTTTATCTCCCCTTCCAGCCCCTTTTACTTCCAACTTCTATTCCTCCTTTTTTTCCTCTCCATCTTTTCCCTCACGTTCTCCTCCTCGCTGCTTCCACCTGCCATCTCTCCATGTTTATTTCCCTCTCCTCTAGTGTCAGACCTCATGTATGCTTTTGAACTTGCGGTCTCTTAAGGATGTTGCTTCCCTGATAACACTGATGTGCCAAACACACACACACAGAAGTATATGCATACATTCACTAATATTCCAATACACACACTTTCAAAAACACACACACAGAGTTCACGCAGCGCCAACACTTTTTAAGGTCTGATGTTCTTTGAAGTTAACACAAGCCTGATTGATGTGTGTGCACAAAGGTGTGAGAACATCAAGAGCAGGTGAGTACTGTACATGTATACTGATGTGTATGTGCATTTATTTGGGATGAAATGTGTGTGTAGCCAAACTAACTTTCAGAAGACAAGAAACAAATGTACTTACTGGTTTATTTTAATAACAATAGATGCTAAAACGCTTGCCAGCTGGGACATCATGGGATAGGACCTGATCACGCTGAGATGTGTTGCTAAAATATCTTGAAGAAGTGCATGAAAGTGAAAAAAAATGGAAGGAGAAGATTGCATCGTATTGCATACGTTGGGATAAACTCCAGTTAGTAGTTTGCCCCTGACGTTGACAGTTTGTTTCCGAGCAACACTGACTCTTAGATGTCAGTTAACTGTTGCCATGGGAAACACTGCTAAAGCTATAGGCTTTGACAGCATTTTCCCAAATATGATATGCACAATACCAAACCTGTCAGTTTGGCTGAATTGGTCTGATTGTTGAATCATTTATATGTGTTATGTCATTAAAATCATGTTTTATTGTAGTGTATCTGTTACTTAAGAGTTGGTGAAGATCCAAGAGAAGAGCAGAACTTTCTTGATAGAGAGAGAGAGAGGAAAAGAAAAAAAAAACGTTCAAAAGATAAATGCCCCATCTTTGTCTCCCGTTGCCAAGGTAACTGGACGATCGTTAAGCCGTTAAGTCCTCCAACTGCGGTTACCCTGACAATAGGTGTGTGTGTGTGTGTGTGTGTGTGTGTGTGTGTGTGTGTGTGTGTGTGTGTGTGTGTGTGTGTGTGTGTGTGTGTGTGTGTGTGTGTGTGTGTGTGTGTGTGTGTGAGAAAGGTCACATGTTTGATGTCATCTCGTCTGCCTCCATCAGTGTCCCGCTGTGAAGAAATATGTATTTCCCCCTTCTTCCTCCTCCTCTTCCTCCTCCTCTTCTTCCTCCAGTCAGTTTTTGTCACAGTGCTGCCTTCCTGTGGCCAAACCTGCCGACTGCAACTGAAGATTTAAAATTCTAAAAATAACTCCTTTAGAGCCAAAGGGTAAATCCTCCTAAATGACAAAATCACTGATTGTGTTGTGACTAGAATTCACATGTTTCTACTGAAGCATGACATTTTCTGTTCAGAGAGCCGTAGATCAGTTTATAAATTGTTTGTCAGCAACTATTCAAGTATTTCTCGCTTATATGCCAAGTACGTTTTGTAACTTCTGGGTTTACTTGGTGATGTGGCCCACTGAATAAGAAGTGTTTCTCCCCATTGATATTCACAGATTATTGACAAGCTCCACAACCTCACTTTTAGTAATACCGTAAATCAAAGTCGTTTGCGTTTTTAAACTACATTTTCGGGATTGTTGAACAAATTAAAAAGGGTTAACACATAACTATTTTTTAAGTCAATCACCTGAAATGATGTAGCGACAGTGCAGAGAGAGAATGGGCCTTATCAGTCTCTGGTGGAGTTTCCTCTCGGACAGGAAGTGGGCTTCCTCAGCTTCCTGTTCCATTCTCTTTTGTGTGTGTGTGTGTGTGTGGTGTGTGTGTGTGTGTGTGTGTGTGTGTGTGTGTGTGTGTGTGTGTGTGTGTGTGTGTGTGTGTGTGTGTGTGTGTGTGTGTGTGTGTGTGTGTGTGTGTGTGTGTGTTTGTGTGTGTGTGTGTGTGTGTGTCTCAAAAGAACAATCAGTGTAGAAACAGAAAGAACAAGAATGAAGCAGACGAGACGGAGGCTTAAATAACATGAACGGAGAGAGACGGAGACTCAGAAGACACAATGGAAAAACAAACTGAGAGACAGACCCAAAGACATCAAAAGGCAAATTGAAACAAAAGAAATACATTCAGGAAGAGAGTGAGCAGTTACAGGACTCATCTTACCCAGAGGGGAGACCAAACCGTGATGGACTATGAACCTAAGAAATCCAAGAAGGTACTTTCTTCTGTTCTGTCTCAGCATTTTCCACTTTTCCGTCATTTGGAAGTGGGTGACTTGTTCTTAAACTTTCTCCAGAGGAAGTCTAGTCCTATTTCATCATCCAACTGCATATTGGGACTGTATTATTTTGAAGCAGCAGATGTTTAGATGTTGTCTTTTTAACTTAAACCAATCAAGCTAGAGTAGATGCACACAGTGGATTATTTAACAGTTTCACTGTAATTGACCCTAACCTATCAAGAAATCCTTTGTAAAAAAAATTAAATTAGCTTAAGGTATTTTAACAGTATTTTAAATGCATCCTGTTGGAATGTGTGTTCACTTGTGAGGGTGATTTAAATCTGTGTAATCTTTTGCGTTGCGTTTTGGTAAACTATGAGATTCAAATGAGTAGTCTTGACCAATTCTTCTTGGCTGTGGTGACCTTTGAAGGAACCAGAGCTAATGCAAACATAATCATTTGTTCAAAGTACAAATGATTTTCTTAAAAATGATTTCCCAAGCCATGTTTTCTTACCTGACCTGACATGGTTTCTGCATGATGACGTACACATGCAGCATACTGCACATGCTGTACTACAGTATTACCGATGATAACCTTAAATGTGGTCAGCTTGCTTCAAGTTTTGAGAAGCAGACACATAACATCTAAAAGAAAAACCTTTATTAAATAGGGAGAACAATTGTAAGTTATAAAAACAAGAAGAGAAAGCAAATAACGGCAGTATTAACTAGCTCTACAGCAACTTATTTGACATGCGCAGGTTGTTAAAATAATTCATTACAAAATCCAATTAAATACCTCTTTCTGTTTCAAAAACCTCACAGGAACGAGAGGAAGAACAAAACTCATTAAAAATATTCTCTGTCCTACATTTAAATTCAGCTGAGTCCAGAGATGCTCATCAGAAAGCAGCCTCGTTTTGAGAAATATGCCCTTGTTCTTCAAAAAGAAAGACACATTTTAAATTCCATAACAAACTCATTTCCTCTCTTTATTCAGTGTGTGTATATGTGATAATGTCCATTCGCCTCATTCCCTCCAGCCACAGTTAATTAATGTGTGATTGCATGTGTCAGTCAGCGGGGGTCTAACAGTGTGTGCTGTGTTGACAGTGCGTCTCAGCAGGGAGCTGTCAGAGATCACTGCTCACCTGTCAATCACTCTACGAACAGCCAGGGGACGTGCTGCAGTAACACACACACAAACACACACACACACACACACACACACACACACACACACACACACACACACACACACTGAGTCATGTGTGCCATACAAATCAAACATTTTGAATGATGTTCTAGTTTAAACTCAAACAAAACCACCCTTTCCGAGACTGCTGGAAAGTTAAAGCCATAATACTAAAGTGTGTAAACAGTATATTAATAATTTAGTAACTTTAGGAGACTTACAATTAGTGAAACTTAACATTTAAAGGGGCCTAGTATGCTACATTTTAGTTAGATATTTTTATTCTGGGTTTCTGGTAGAACACACACTACACAGATAATTGTAAGAACAATTATGACAGGAGTTGTTGTGTAAAAGTACATTTCCACACATTTCCCCTCTACATTGATTTAGTTTATTTCGCCAGATGTTTTATATGTGTTATTGAAATGTCACTTCCATTAACTTATTTGATATTGAACCTCTGGGGTAATTCATTCCCTGCACCACAAAGGAGACAAAGCAAGTGTGCGTGGTTGCCTTCTACTTACTGTGAAATATATTACTTTGAACCAAAGTATTGGATCCACCAAATCATCTGTATAAGCGCTTTGAGTCATTGATAAAGCGCTATAATAAATGTAAGGAATTATTATTATTATTATATCTTATATATCTAAATATTGTCTTATCCTATTTTCCACTTTGTCCCCATGCCTATCTCTTGTTCTCTCTCCTCAGAGCTTTGTCTCTCCTATTAAGCGGCTTGTCTGGTCAAAATCTGGTCGCAGGCAGCTGGATCGAGGCAGCATTTACCGGCGCCCGCTGCACACCGTCCCTCTTTACCCCCCCGATTACCTCATCCACCCTGAGAGGCTGATCTTCGACTACATCGAGAAGGAGGTCAAGGTAGAACGTGAGATACGCAACGATAAATCAGAACATACTTAAGTCATTATTGACCTTCTGATAATTGCTTCACCTTTGTCCTCTCAATTCAGTTCCTCGGTCACCTGACCTGGGTGTCGGTTTCACTGAACCCCTCGAGCCGCGACGAGCTGCTGCAACTCCTCGACACAGCCAGGGTCAGTAATCAATTACTTATCTGTAAATAATCACTGCTGAGGTAAGGGATCAATAATTAAACACCTCTGAGTGATGGCCAGCATCTATAACTTAAAACAGCCGGGGTTAGCAATCAATAAATTATCAATAACCAACCACTGATCTATAACTAATTAAATCAATGGATATTAACTAATATAAACCAAGTAGTCAATATGCTCTTACTTATCCCCTTTATTTAACCTTAATCAGTGACGTTAATCATGACAAGCCAATTTAAAATCACTGTTTAATCACTGTTGTATTAGTGCACCTATAGTATAGACCTCCCTTCATTTTTGGTGTAAGTAATCAATAATATATGGCCTATGCTATCTGACATTAATCATTAACCAGTTTATAAATAGTCACTGGTGATGTTGGTGCTGAATACACAATATATTCCAGAATTAATAAGAAAGAATTGTACCTGATAGCAGCTAAAGCAAGGGATCATTCATGTATTATAAGCTTAGCTCTCCCAGGCTTAATGATCAATAAGCAGTGATTGACAACAGCCAAGGTTAGTGAAACAGTAATTGAATTCAATTCAAGGTTTTATTTTCATGTGTACATTAGCTACAGTGTAGATATGGCAATGAAAAGCTTATGTCACTGCTCCTCCAACAGTGCAACATGAGGATATAAAACAAATAAAACAGATACAATAGTGTAAGAGAATATTTCAGCACTCATCAAAACTCAAGTGAGACCATGTCGAAGTGTGATTTAACAAAGTCTTACTCTTTAATCAACAATCTAAGACCATGTGTCTCTGTTTGTTGGTCAGTAGCAGTTGAAGGTGCTGCCGTTGAAGACCAGCGTGGATCAGGACTGTATTCTGAGTCTGTCTGCGCGCTGTCTGCTGCTGACGTGGAGAGACAACGAGAAGCTGATGGTGAGGATTCCCACACATGAGATCGCTGCTGCCTCCTACCTGAGGGACGACGCGCTGCACCTGCTGGTCCTCAAGACAGGTGAGGAGGACCATACATGCCCCTTTCCCACCAAAGCAGAGCTAGGGCCAGTTCGGAGTTAGTGCCCGATCAAGCACCGGTTCTTCCTGTTTCCACCGTCATGGGCCGGCTGTTGGCCCCAAAACAATGGCCTCACTTGACTGCCCGTGAAGAACCGAGAACCAAATACGTCACGCTTACGTCGGAGGCAGGGGCAGGGGCAAAGTGAACAGAACGACAAACAGCCAGATGAGCTTCAGTTGCTATGCTAACATCATCTGTCTAAAACCAGAGAGACTTTAATAACGGCGTTTTGATGCCAAAAAGCACCAATTCAGACTGAAACACATTGACTTATGGGGAGGGGGGATATGCATTAGTTGCTTGTGTGACAGTCAATGGACACATCTGAGGACCAAACACTGTCACTTACTCTATGACCAATGGGCACTCAGGATGTTTTAACAATGCTTCTACTTCTCAGCTGACAAAACAGAATGTAGCCAAATCTTGAATAAGTTTGACACAATATTTTAGTGTATAACTTTGACTATAGACAGGGGTATATTCTTACTTAATTACAACATGAAGGTAATTTGGCTAACGGAAAGGAGTTTTCTTTATCCTGATTCACCAATGAGTTTCTAAAACGCAACACTTAAATTGCCCCCGTCCAAATGCTGAAACGGACAGGGACGCCATCATTACTCTTTGCTCTGATATGACTACCATCTTGCTAGTAATGCCCCTTGCATTTTGTAGAGTAACGCTAGTTTACTGTAGTAAGCTATAGTCAACTCTGCATGCTAACTTTTTCTTACAGACTCTTGGGGTCGGGAGGCCTGATCATTTATTCCGGCAAATTACTCAGACCTGCTAATTGACCTAATAGAAGTTATTGAGTCTATGTAAATTTACTGCTTGGCTCAGATCCACCAACGATCAGCAAGGTCTCACCTCTATTAAGTCCTGAAGAACCAGGTTCAATTAACTGCTGTTTCAATTCAGATGACCCACTAAATCTGTTTAAGCGATCCCGAAGGATTTTGATATCAGTAAATGAGGTGTAGCCCTACCTAAGTGTGTGTGGCATTTCTTACCTTTCAAGCAGGAGAGGAGAGCGCAGATGTCTTTTAAGTTGTCCCATTCCAAAAGGTGGGATCAGTTTATTTGAAGAAAAATGGTCCACACTTGTACAGGGTTTTTACCTTCTCTCTTTACAACATTACAATCATACTAAACATATCATTACATGACATGTTACTTGTTAGACGCTTTTATCCAAAGCGACTTACATACTCAATACTGTGGTCAATCCCCACTGGAGCAATTTGGGGTGAAGTGTCTTGCCCAGGGACACAACGACATGCTGACTGCAGTGAGATTTGAACCTGTGACCCCTTGATCCGAACACCAACGCACAGTCCACTGCGCCGCACGCCTCCACAATATCATACTGTGGTCATTTTCTAATCTGAAACCTTAATTCATAGTTTAGACATTAAAGTCTCCCGACATAATCCAGAGGAATCTCCTCACGGATCGAAGGTGCTAACATTCACACCTACATGTATAGCCTGACAACATTCAGAGGCAGTTCCTCGTAAACGGTCAGTGGAATCTAACAGTTTCAAACTTTCATCCAACAATTCACTCAGCATTCCATAAACAGAAATGTAAGCAATATTTACCAAGTTTGAGAGAACCTTACCGAGGGAAAACCCAGCTCTCAGGGAGAGAGCTTTACCGGGAGAGAGCATACCAGAGGAACCCCCCTCTCTCTCTCGATCTCGAGTTTGCTCCCTCTCTACTAGTGTTTTTATGCTCGAAACAGGACAGAAAAACCTAAAGACACCTCCTCCATACCCATATTTGTGGAAACTGGGCATGGCCTCTAGTGTGCAGGACTTGCAAAATATTATTCTCGGCTATGGCACAAACACCTTTTTGGGGCCTCAGTCTTTCTCCAAAAAGTCAGGAGCCCCCCTCCCTGGGTACTGCTGTGAGGGAAGAGGGAAGAAACTGTCTCTCCTCTCTTATCAGTGACACCTCATAAACCATAATAGGTCTAAAGGCCCTGACACACCTACCCGATTTTGGGAGTCAGAGGCCGTCCTGCACTTGCTTTATGGCACATTTTCACACCTCCCGCGGCCGAGCACATGTTGAATCGGCCAAAGAAAGTCGGCCAAAGAAATCACTCTGATTGGCTGTTGCCTCTTTTGAATGACGAATACACACTACCGCTGCCTGCTGGTAACGACAGTTATTGCCACTCGTCGACTGAAGTCTTTGCGGTGTGTTCGTAGGCGGGCGGCATAGCCGACGCAGGCGACGTAGCAGACGTAAAAGTCGGGACGTAAAAGTCGGGACGCCTTCGGTACGCGTTCTTTGGTCTCAGGTGGGTGTGTAGCGGCCTTTACACTCAACTTAACAAACCACTTGTTTATACTGTAAATATAGAAAATCATAAAATATGAAGCATTTTCATTTTGGGTTATACAAGAATATAATTGATTATATTTGATTATAATTAACTTTCGTTTGAAGTATTCAACCTAATATGGAGATCTCAACAAGACACAAAGTTCAGTCCATTCCTTAATCTTTGCTCTTTGTCTTTTGGTTTTTAAAGGATAAACAAAAAAGAAACCAATTGCTATTTAGGTGCTGTTTTAGCAAACGGTTAATTTATGGATTCTTCCAGGGTTTTTTTGTGGGTTTTTTCACAGGCAAAGTTTGGTAGGATGGACTAGCTTTTCTATGACAAAGATAGTGTTCACATTTTAAACCCTCGTCCCACAGGTCTGAACGTGGACACAGTGGTTGCTGGGGACGACAGCCTGGACAGGAAAAAGCCAACGGGCGTAGACAGCCGACGTCAAACCATGAGCTCCAACGCGGACCCTCGACCTGCAGGGGGCACGATGGAGCGACGGCACACAATCTGTGGAGTCGACTGGAGGCCTTCATTATCCAGGAGTAACCACGACAAAAATCCAAATGTGGAGAGGGGGGGTGGAGGAGGTGGAGGAGGAGGAGAAAGAGGAGGAGGAGGAGGAGGAGGAGGAGGAGGAGGAGGAGGAGGAGGAGGAGGAGGAGGAGGAGGAGGAGGAGGAGGAGGAGGTAGAGGAGAAAGAGGAGGAGGTAGAGGAGAAAGAGGAGGAGGAAGAGGAGGAGAGGAGGAGAAGAGGAGAAGAGGAGAAGAGGAGGAGGAGGCAGTTTAGAGAGGAAGAGAGTGGGAGGTAGCTGGGAGAGGAGGCAGCAGACACGTAAAACAGGAGGGAGTTTAGAGAACCGCAGAGCAAGACCCATGAGCGGGAGCTGGGGAGTAGGAGGTGGAGGTGGAGGTGGAGGTGGAGGTAGCTGGGAGAAAAGGCATGGGGGAGGAGGAGGTGGGAGCTGGGAGAGGAGGGGAGGTGGTGCCGGGGGGAGCTGGGAGCGACGGCAGGCCTGCACAGGAAGCTGGGAAAGGGGGAAGAGCTATGGCAGCTGGGAGAGGAGGAACCATAACCCGCTGGAGCCGACGCCCTGCCCAGATGCCTACTGCAACCTGGTCATCCTGGCCGTGGAGAACCGGGTGGGGCACTGCTGATGAAAGTCACTTTACACAATAACTTCATACCTCACGTTATTACTCAATTGTATTCAAGTTCCTGCTAAAAATGATGTTCCATGACCTTACATTTGCTGTCAATACATTTCAGTAGTCTTAGGAATGGTACATTTTGTGAAATTTGCCTTATCTGTTCCATGAGATCATCTATAACTTTAACTCATATTTGTGTGTTGAGTATAGACCTATAGCTGGACCGGTAAACATTTAGCCTTTATGAAAATAAAGGAAAGAAAGCCCATTGAACTTTATCTTTTGACTTTAAGTAAAGATAATGGGAATGTCGCTATTGGTATTAGTTTTGTAAAATAAGGGGTGATTACCTGTGTGTTGGTGATGCTATATGCAAAGGAAGGGATTACCTCATTGCAACTGATTCTAACAATAATCCATCCAATAGGAGTAAAATGCTGTTCCAAGCAAAAACCACCCATGGAACTGCTGAGTTGATAACTTGTAAATATCACTGTGGACATTCGCTAGAGAAAAAATAACAACAGTGACAAAGCACAGTGGGGTTCACTAATCACTTGGCTCCTTGAAAAGAAGTGGCAATACTTTTAGACACACACAAACATACTTGTACTGAGACTTTGTGTTGTTGCATAACCTGTTGTATCACAACAGAGTAGCTTTGTCATTGTATTTGTGTAAGTGTGTTTCTGTGGGTGCGAGCATGCGTGCGTGTTCTTGTCCTCAGAGCAGTAGTTTGTTTGGATTGGCATCTTAAGAGTTGTATTGTTAATTTGGCTGATGCAGGAGCACATGATCACTGTGAGTGTGTGTCTGAGTGTGCGTGCATGTGCATAGCTTCAGTGGCCAATGTTCCCTTTTGTCTCCCAGACTGCTTGGCTTCAGGGGGTTGCTGGGTAAAAATCTCATGACTTATGTGCACTTGAACAAAGGACCAATCCATGCAGGAACTGCAGTGAAGCTTCTCACACAGTAAAACATGTGTATTTAACTCAGCAGACAAAAGGCTGTTGGAAAACAGGATTTAAAGAATGAAGACACATTTCAGAAGACATAGCTGTTATTGTGATTGACACAAAGGACTCACAAGAACTCAGATGCACAATTATTTTTTGACTTCAAAAATATCTTTTAATATACAAAAGACTTCTCAAAGTAAAAAGGTATTTAGGATCAACTACAGTAGGACACTCAAAAGTTCGCTAGGTTCAACTAATAATACAAAAGACTTTTCAAAGAAAAAGGTTTCTAGGATCTACTAGGATACTCAATAGTTCACTAGGTTCGACTAGGTTGCTCAAAGTTACACGAGGAAGTACAGACATGGACTTAGTGTTGAGACAAGACGAACCGACAAAAGACAAAAGGAGAACAGGGCTACATATACACACAACGGTTAATGAGGCACAGGTGAAAACAATCATGAGCAGAAGACCACACTCAAGCTGGCAGGTGACACACAACGACAGGAAGTGTAGACACCTGAAAAGAGAGGACAGAATCAACATCAAAATAAAATGCAAGGCCACAAGAATAAACACAAAACAATAAACTAAAAGAACTCTAACGCTGAAACCTTACAGTGATTACTATTGCAGTGGGATGACAAGTCTGTGTGTGTGTTTGTGCAGGAAGCTGCAGAGGAGTACTGCTCTCTGATCTGTCAGATGTTCCAGATCATTTACGGCCATCAGACCATCGAGTGTGTGGACAGAGCCGGCTTTCATCACACAGTGCCGGACCGATACTGGCTGCAGAGGAGTGAGTGACAAGCACAACAAAGAAAGAAAGATACCTTTGGGGACTTCAAAATGTGCTCTTTTCTTTTAATTGTCATGTATTATGAGTTATTTTCATTTTATGAGAGCTCTTTGCTAGACATTTATTTATCTTTTTCAGATAATCTGATTAGAGGTTTTGTTAAATTTCGGTTGCTTTTGCTCATTTTGCTTAAAGAGTAAGACGTCTGTTGAGCGTAACACATACTACATTAGCATCCTGACCTACAACTACACGTCATCAAGTCATACATTGTTTTTGTCTCCACCATCAATGTGTGCCAGAGTCCTAAAATGCAACAATCAAATCAAATCAAATCAAGTTTTATTTATATAGCACATTTATAAACGATTTTTGGTGGAGCCAAAGTGCTGTACATATAATAAAAATAGCCTACAGTAGAGACACTTTACAGCAAATACAACAACACAGATTGTTCAGAATATCAGTATGAGAAAAACGACACCCTCTGTCCTTAGACCCTCACATCGTACAAGGAAAAACTTCCAGAGAAAACCCACAGTTTAAGGGGAACATGGGAGAAACCTCAGGGAGAGCAACAGAGGAGGGATCCCTCTCCCAGGACGGACAGACGTGCAATAGATGCCGTGTGTAAATCCAAGAGATAATACATTTTACAGCATATAGACCGAATGTTAGGAAATGCATGTGTCTGTAATAAGAAGATGAATCTACGAAGATGTCAACTACAATCCTGTGGAAGCCATCAGGGAAGCAGCAAGACGAGACCCAAGGCAGGACCGCAGAGACAGGTTCAGCCACGACCCGAAGTCCACGACTTAATCCAGAACTCAGGATAGAGGATCCAAGACACAGGACTACAGCAAGAGGATCAGCCTCGACTCCGGATCCCGGCGTAGATATAGATACAAAACAAGAAACAAGATTTGGCTGGGTTAATCGGAACAAGAGAATACACAGACACAGACAGAGAGGGAAAAGGTCATTGGATAAAAGTTATTCTTGATAACCCTCTAGAAAGATCTCATGAACTTCCCCACTCAATCTATCAAGACCCGAGCAGTTCTATTAGATATAGATAAGAAACAGAGAGAGGGAGCACAACAACCTATCTCTTCGTCAGATGCACTCCCCCGCTTATCTAAGCGACTCTGTACCCCGTTACCCTTTACAAGGCCATAGACCAGCAGAGGGGAAATGGGGGGTGGGTAAGGGTAAGGGTTTTTAAGAATAAACCGCAAGGGTCTAAAGGGAAAAAATATGAAATATAAGGTACTATATTTTAAGTAATCCTATCTACTATTCCTATATTTGAATAATGTATAAACTATTTTAAAAATACTTTAGGAAATCCTATGTAACAATAACATCACATGTTCTGAAAAGGTTGTATTTGTAACTCTACTACTGGTAGGCTTCCATGGTCAGCTTCTTTATATCATCAGTATGTTGTTTAATGGACATTGCAGTGTCTATATGGATGATAAAAAGGCTTAAGACTAAAGCTAACTTGATCAGAAGGTGTAAAGTATAAAGGAAATGCTTTGTTTGTCTGTGTTTGTCTCTGTGCAGGTGACAGCTGTCTCACTGACGTGTCCTACAGTTATGATCCAGAGTTTAGCTGCTGCAGCTCATAGTGAGTGACATCCATATTCAGATGAATACAGTGTCTTCAATTCATGAAATGTCCTAAATATTTGGACATTTCCATCTTAAAATACGGTCCTGAAAACGTTAAGTACATTTGATAATCCAGTAACTTCTCTTGTCATTAGTTTGGTTGTAATACCCAAACAGAGAATGTTTATTAAGTAAAGCAGAAGGCCCATTTTGTTGTGATTAAGGAGGAATGTATGGGACTTCACAAAAAAAGCCCAGTGGACTATTTGATGACTGTATGATTAATTAAATTGAATTACGTTTTTGACATTGAACAGGTACAATGTCCATAGATAGACAATGACTATTCAAAAGCAAATATTGAGGACAATTAATTGACACATAGCACAGTCCATATCGACTAAGTGATTGACATTTGATCACCATCAATCCATTACTGTTTCAATGTTAGGTGATCCTGATGGTTCTTTGATAATGATGTTATACCACCACCTTTCTGCCTCTCTCTCTCAGTGATGGTTCCCAGGAGGCCTTTGAGCCGTACTACAGTGAGACATACAGTGAGAGCTCGTCTCTCTCGCTGCAGGACTCCCATCGCAGTCTCGCTGAAGCCAGTGACGGAGGAGACACTAACCCCGCCCTGCTGCTGATGCAGGAGTACATGATCACTGTGAGTGTGTGTCTGAGTGTGTGTGCGTGTGCATAGCTTCAGTGGCCAAAGTTCCCTTTTGTCTCCCACAACAAAGGACAAACAAGCTAAGTACATTTCCCTCCAATGATTAATTTATGATAAAAATATACATATATTTTGAGGTAATATACTAACACAGTGTGGCTTTAAATGCAGCTTGCAGCTATCTTATACTTGTCAATTATAATAATAGATTTGTTTGCCTTTAAGCTACTACAGTAGAGTTAATGGGCCATTTCCTGTAACTAAAGTAGGTTTCATAAGCAAGGACAGATGGCAAGCTACATTGTGTTTATTGACTGTTTGAATAAAACAAATATATATATTGACTTTGTGTGTGTGTGTGTGTGTGTGTGTGTGTGTGTGTGTGTGTGTGTGTGTGTGTGTGTGTGTGTGTGTGTGTGTGTGTGTGTGTGTGTGTGTGTGTGTGTGTGTGTGTGTGTGTGTGTGTGTGTGTGTGTGTGTGTGTGTGTGTGTGTGTGTGTGTGTGTGTGTGTGTGTGTGTGTGTGTTAGCTGCGTAATAAGCTGAGTCCTGTGGAGTTGCAGCACTTTGCGGTATTGCTGAGAGAATATAGGCTGGGATCAAACATCGATCACTTCTGCTCAGAGCTGCTGCAACTTTACGGAGACAATCGCAAGTTCCTGCTGATGGGTGAGACACACACACTCGCACTTACGCACACACACACACACACACACACACACACACACACAGAGCTCATTAACTGCCTGCAACTCAGCAGGAAGCCACAACCTGCTTATTATATTGTTTATTTGGTTATATTGCAGAGATAAGAATGAGTGTGAACTATATATATTATTGATGTGTGTGTGTGCGTGTGTGTGTGTGTGTGTGTGTGTGTGTGTGTGTGTGTGTGTGTGTGTGTGTGTACGTGTGTTTATGTGTGGATTTGTTTACTGTATGTGTGTTTACCGCAACAAATTCAGCTCTGACCCACTTCCTCTGTGGAACCACAACTTCCTGTTTGTGAGTGAGCGTGAAAGAGAGCGGTTGATGTGTGGTGTTTATCTCCGCCCAGTGTGCCGGTGTGTAATAATAATTTTAAACGGTTGGGATGAGAAAAAAAAACAGCAAAGTCTCGGAGCAGGTTTTGAAGCGCAGTGACTTCATGATTCTCATTTCATAAGTTTATGTGTGAGGAAAATTATGACTTATTATGCTTTTTTGGGTTCCCCTTTCCTGTTGTGTGTTACAAAAGGTTGTGTGCATGTTAATGGTCTGCAAAGGCTAACATTTCTGTCTCAGAAAATAATTATACATGGTATTTATATAGCGCACTTCCTGGTGTTCAACGCGCTCTACATTACATTATGTTACTTATTAGACGCTTTTATCAAAAGCGACATACATGCAGTTAATCCTGTGGACAATACCCATAGGAGCAATTTCAAATACTAGGAGTCAGCAATGTCCAAATCCTAAAAACAGCATCCCTTGGCACACATGGTCTTAGAGCAGATTCCAACAACAAAAAAGAACCTTCAGATGTTATTCTCTGTCTCTGTCCTTCAGGTCCCTACAACAAGGTATTGTGCTCCCATCAGTTTGTACAACTGATGGGGGTTACACAATTGATTGAATGTCATGTTTTGAATATCACTACGTTTTTTGTAAGTTTAATATTATATTACCTTTTAGTACCGATATACAAAATGAAGTTGAGCCTTTAACCATAATGCAGTAAAGTGCAGAGAAAAGTACAGAATGAGATAAGTCATAATAAATAAATGAATGAATACTGAAAATAAATATCTGACTCTTTATCCCTGTTTTTCCAGGCATGCGTCCCTTCATCCCAGACAAGGACGTCGGGGTGTTTGAGAGTTTCCTGGAGAGCATCGGGATCAGGGAGGGAGGCATTTTAACCGACAGCTTCGGACGCATCAAACGCAGCATGAGCAACACGTCGGCTACGGCCATGAGAGGGTATGTAGGTCAGGACTGGTTGTGATTCGCTACTGAAAGATTTGAGTCTCGGTCATGTTTGGTCTGTGAGGTTTTCTACATACAAACTGCTGTCTCACATTCCATCATGACTTATCTACATGGTGCACTTTGATGATTTCTGATCAAAAGACAGCACCAACATAATGTTTGAGGACAGTACAGTGCATTTATATTTAAAGCCAACAGAACAATGTTACCACTGTGATTTACAGATATGTATGCTTTATTTGTATTTATGTATTGTGAAAGGACAAATACACATGTTTTTGTTTTTTAACATAGTGGTTAAAGTTGTGTCCTCACAATGTAATGTTCTAGCCATTAACAATTTACAAAAAACGATGAATTCTGATTGCTTTATCGCCCTTTTTGTAGCTACATTATCGCGTTCGTCAAAAGCTTTTGGTTTCGTTGTTTGGGGGACATTATGTTTTATGTTGGGTTATTTTTAATGATGGTAGCTGTTGGCCCTGATTTCTCTCACTTGGATGCAAAAGCCCTCTCACACCTGGACATTTCATTATTTAGTAGTTAGAGATGAGAGATACAATTGAGATAATTGTTTTTTTTGTTCCCTCAGCATGTATGATAACGGCTCTCTGGCTTCGGGATCTCAGGAATTCAACCGACGCATTACAGACATGACCCACGACATCCAGGCGCTCGGCTTCCAGGACACACACGCAGACATCGAGGAGGAAGATTACTACCTCTGATGGAGGGAGACTCTGATTCCTAGTCAAATTCAGACAGTTTTCAGACTCTCTGAAAGATCAGGGCAGCTCGTGTTCTCTATTGATAGGCAATACGCTGTAAATATAAATTGTCTGACAGTTGTACCCTTCTTAATGTTGATGTTTAATATGCAATTCCTGCTCCATGCACAGAAAATACAGTACGACAAAGAAAACTAAGCTGTATTTATTCAATTAAACTCAATTAATACAAAAACAGTTCATTTTCAATGTATCAGACAGTAGGGGAAGATTATATGATTTAACACATAAGCCATGATTTAATTAAGTGTTTACAAATATTCAACAATACGTTATTTTCTGTAGTGGTTGTAATACCTAAAACTGTCCACATGGAGGCAATTAAAGACAAAATATATATAACGCTCTTTGCTGCTGAGTACAAAGCTCCATTGTGAGCCATCATTTAGTTCAAAAAGGATTTAAATAAATGTTTGGAACCAGATACATGGATATATACAGTAGATAGATAAATAGATAGATCGATAGATGTGTTAGTAATGATAACAAAATCTTTTTTAAAAAATCAAAAATCTCTCCCTCCCTCTGTGTCCCCCGTTCTCTCTCCCAATGTTGCATTGACCCGTTATCCTGGCGTCAGCATCACCACTTCCCATGGTGCACTGCTTCTGTGTTGCCCCCCGGTTCTTCTCCTCTGCCAGTTTAACGAAACATCACAGAGGGAGAGTCAGCTCCCCCATGGGCTTCACCCGAGTCATCTGAGTCTGCTCTCCCTCATTATGCAACAGACTAGATGCTGTGTGCATTTGATTTTAAATGAACTCATCAAGAACAGAGTACAATTGACCAGCAGCAGACACATCACTGTAAACATGCCAGAGGTGTTACAAAGTGCTGGGTTCAACCTTGTGACCTGGATATCTGGATCACACGCACTGCAAATAAATTATTACGTAAATTATATATATCATGGAGAGTCCTAGTTGAAACGATATAAAGAGAAAGTAAGATAACGAGATACATCATACATTCAAAATACTAAATATGTTTTGACAGAATTGTTTTTGTCAGGCTGCAGCCATTTCTTGATTCAAGGTCAAAGGTTGTGCGTGTGTGTGTGTGTGTGTGTGTGATTAGATCAACTTAAAAACGTTACTAGAAAAGCTTTATTATGGAGCTTTGTATATCAACAGCAAGGTTGGGGTTTCTGGTCTGGTTAATTGGTGACTATAAATTGCCCCAAGGTGTAAAGTGAGTGTGAATTGTTGTCTGTCATCTCTTGTATTGACTGGCAACGTGTTAAATCTGAGTTTGGGGAAGTGGAAAAAACTGTACAATTATTCTAAACTAAGTTATCTCTTGAACTATCCACATTTAGGCTGTTCTATGCAATTTTATTTTGATAAGCAATGCTATTTTTTTCTTCAATTAGCCAAGCCTCCCCTGAAATAGTTTGGAGCCTGAATACAAAGCCCCTCCTCCCTCTTTGAAAACCATGCTCTACATAATGAGCTGCAGATAATGGATGGAGGGATGGTTTAAACATACATGTAGCATCATGCACATAAAAAAAACCCAATACTTTCCAGTGTGATCAAACTGAATTGTATGATGTCACTTTGGGATTTCCAGTTGTGGTTAAATGTGAGGCTCTGCAGGTGAAAGGGTTCAGGAGGTGCATGTAAAGTATCAACACTCACCTTACTGGGATTACAGTGATGTGTGTACAGGTTATATTTAGCAGGATCACAGTCAGACTTCACAGTGTGGTCGTCCTGCTGAGCTGGCCAGGTGCCACTCAGCCTAGTGTCACTGCAGGGATCAGTGCAGAGAAAATCCACTGAGGGTTCAACAAAGCTGCTGTCAGTGATGGCTCAGGTAATGCATCAGCAGCCCTGATACTGCAGGACTTACAGAGGCACTGTGCAAAACAGAACAATTATAGTAACACTACTTCAAAGAATACAAATATAGTCACAAATCTAAAGAATAATACAATTCATAATTCATCGCAATGACCTTTTCCAATTGCCTTTCCTCTTGCAATTCATACGGGCCGAACCTAATCACAGTTGGTTATCCAGGTAACATGCATCTACTCCAATCCCTGATAGTGGTAAAGTGGTAAAAACAAAACATGGCTTCCCCATGTAAAAAAAATGTTGGCCATATGGTAGGCTATTTTTGAAACATAGTTTTCAGCTTTAAAAAAAAAAAAGTGTTGTATTGCTTTTAAAATTGTTAAAAGAAAATGCAATTGTTCAAATACTTTTTAAAGATATTTTTATTAAATAAATTAAATATGTTATGATAGTACGTTTTACTATGTGTAATCAGTGTGTTTACATTTTTTTACATTTTTGTTACAGCGTGTCAAATATCTAGCTTCATACGTCAACACGTTTCCCTCCTGGACCAATGAGATCTGAGGAGGGCGTAACGTGGTCTCGCCGGGTAAAAGAGATTTGACAGTTGCAGGTCTGGAGCTCATCCTCCACTTGACTCTTCCTCCGTGGGACGGAGACCATGGCGGCGGCTGCTGCCTGTGCCCAGCACAGCGCTGCGATGATGGCCAAAAAGACGCACGGTAACAGGGAACACAGTCGGAGGAACCGGGAGAACTCTCGTCGGAGACAAGCAGCTCTTTTATTTCTTAGTAACATCTCACTGGACGGACGGCCAGTGCATAGTAATTCAGACGAGCATGGAGGAAGCCACAAAGAGACCGACTTTGAGGGAGCGGACTCGGCGGCCGGGTTGTGCCCGGAGATGGGCGGACGATACGGAACATTCTCCAGGTTGGCAACGGCAGTGAGCTGCGGGAACGTCAATCCCTCCATGGGACCGAGGACAGGACTATTGAACATACCGCCTATCCTAGTCCTGCCGTCGGACTCGGGGTTTAACGATGTGGGGAGCGCGGAGGTGCTGCTGCAGTGCCGCAGAGGCTCGGTCCCCTCGGCCGGGAACCTGCTCCCCTCGCCTGGGAACCTGCTCTCCGCGTCCCCGTCCAACGCCAGCCTCCTGCCGTCGCCTTTGGGACCGCGGAAGTCTTCCACACTTCTGTCGGTACAAAGCTGCAACTCTGTGTCCTCAGAGCCGCGCCAGAGGTGAGTGACACACGGCTTTGTTTATGTCAATTTATCTGGTGGGCTTGACTGCCGAGTCAGACTGTTGTTTCGTTGAACTTTGTTTGCAGCTTGAATGTCTCAATGTTAACTAAACCAATCTGCATAATCAGTTTTGAATTTCGATACTAAGTATTGATGCCTATGCTTTTGTACTTTTACTTGAGTAACATTTTAATTGCAGGACTTTTACTGTACTTGTAACAGAGTAGTCATACACTCTGGTATTACTACTTTTACTTAAATACAAAATCTGAGTACTTTCCCGTCTTAAAAAAGCAGTATGATGAGCTTGAGTGTCTCAATGTTACCTAAAAGTTTCTGGTATAGTTGTCATCAGCTCCCACATCACCTGTCACGGCAGTAGTGTAAGAAGTACTCAGATGTTTCACTTTAGTAAAAGTAGAAACACTAATACTCCATTACACGTATAAGTCCTGAATTGAAAATGGTACTTGAGTTGAAGTACAGGTAGCATAAAGGAAATATGCAAGTAGAATGTCAAAATAGTACTTAAGTACAATACTTGTGTTAAAGTACCTTGTGACATTCCTCCACTGTCTAAAGTTAGACTGGGTCACGGTGGTCAGGTCTAATTTAACTCTGGTTCAGAGAATAACACTCCTGTTCACGTGCTGAGGGACGCTTTGACACTTGATCGAATGCTTTAAATCAAGGTGCCTTTGAGATAAAGGATCATTATCAAACCATAGTCAGGTTTAAGTGTTAAATAGTGTCCGTCGTCGTGATTCAACATTTCTATAAAATAATACCTTTTCTTATCCTCTATAGTCTATACCCACTCTTACTGTTGCCTGCCTGCCTGGAGCTAAAAGGGAACATCTACTGTAGGCATGTCTTACAGCCCACACAAGCTCAGGTCATGAAGGCTGAGGGCAAGATCTTAGGAATTACATGACTAATGGCAGTTGAATTTGGGAGGTAGGTGGAGTGGATTATTAAAGGTTCAGGATCACCTTTACAAGAAAAATATTCATGGCAGCTTTTGTAAACGGGGATCTTGTTGCCCATGTGCTCATTTCCCTCGATGCTGTCCTTGCAGAATGAAACAGTAATTATGTGGATAGACGCAACGAACGGTTAAACCACTGGGTATAGCCTCGTGGAATAAAGACTTAATTGTGTTTTGAATGTAAAACACTGTTATTACAGTGCTGTGCCATTTTCTATTGTGACTATGGTCTTGTTCTCTTCTTCGGATCAGACGTCGTCTCGTTTCAAATCATTTGTCTGTTATTTCATTGTGTATTTATTTTAGAAAAAGTCCAACAAACAATTATTTGACTTATTTTATTATGTCGTATTCTTTATTAATCTTTTAGTCATTAAAATGTCTCATTATATTAGAAAAGTCATCACATCTGAGGAACTATTGACGTTGGCAGTATCATCAAATGTGTCCGATTATTTTAGTGTTCTTTGTTGCAGTCAAATACTTTCATGCATGCATTTCATAACTTACGACTGTTGTGTCAATATAGACCAAGAATGGTTTTGTGTTATACTCCTCCTGTTGGTGTTTTGTATTTCAAATATGACATCTATGACACTTAAGGCTGTACTGATCATATATCTGTATACTGATACAGAGAATATGCATTTTGGCTTATTTCTGTGTTTCATTGAAATGATAATAGTTTACTTGCAGATTCCGCTCTTATCTTATAGAAACACATTAAAGTACCATCAGAATGTATAAGATAGTTGGGCTAAACACTATCTGCTGGTAAAACAAAATGTTTGTGACGTCCCTCCACTTCCCCTCTTTGAAACCACAGCTCAGTTTCGGTTTATTCACAAACAGTTAAAATTCCATATTATGTGAAATAACAGATATTTGGAATTGGACAACCTTATAATCTATCTGAAGTTTGAGATTAGGGGTGCTGAACAAAGCAGATAGTATTTAAAATGTGTGTATTAAAACTTCGTCTAGATTGATATGTATTATTTTGTAACATTACAACATACACCTAGGACTAACAAAAAAGACTCTCTAAGCTTACTACCATAAATGGTCCTAAAACATGCATTTCATCAGTCTAAACATTGCTTGAATAGGTAAGATAAGAAATGGCCTCTTCTGATATCTTAAAAAGGTATCATCTTTATAAAACCAATCGTACTCTCTGTATTAACTTTGAGCCTGGTTGTATAAGCAGTCTAAAAGGAAACGTAATGTTTAGAAGTAGCCTGCCAGAGTAACTGGTGGCTTGTAGAGGGGAAGTGAACCTGGAGGCGGTTAAAACCCACTAACAGACCAAATGAAATCATCTGTTTGGTGTAGCATAGTAACCCAGAATGATCTTTGGGTGTTTACTGCAGGTTACTTTGTATTTTTTGTGATTAGAAATTCAAGATATAAAGATATGAGCTGTCTCAGATCAAAAAGAGGCAACAGAAAGAGAGTAGAACACTCATTAATGTTGTGTAATAAGTGTGTTAAAATGTGGTTTCGTAATAACAGATGTGTGTGTATGGAGCGTAGCCATCTGGCAGGGGTTCAGACTTGCAGTGGTTGTGTGAATGCTGATGGATCACATTAGTCACCATGTTGGCAGTGTATCAAACCCCGAGAATGTCAGCCCCGCAGAGATAAACACTGCTTAACCTATTTCCACCTAACAACAGGCCGGGTAATTAGCGGCAGATAAAAGCTCAGCAGTCGGACGGCGGCACCTGTCCTCCGCAGCTCCTGCTGTGAGACTTCATTGTGTCTGGTTAATGTGATGCTACAGTCATTCATGCCAAGGTGGTTCATGTCATTGTTTCTAATGAATGTGGTTCAAAAACGATGTATTGGTTTATGACAAGGATAATTTTCAGTGTGAGGAACTTCAAAGGTTTTATAAATAGAGCAAATATTGGGTGAGGGCATAACATTTCAGAAAATGCAAAAAAATATATATATATATTATTACCATCACAGTTTCAGTTTTTAAATGACTTGTTTCCTTACATTCCAAAATCCCAAAGATGTTCAATATACAGTGATTTAAATGAAGTAAAAGCAGGATATTATCTTATTTAAGAAACAAGAACCATCGAATGATTGTCATATTTATTTAAGCGTACATATATATAATTATACAATAAGGAAATGGTGGTTTTGTATCTTATTTCCATATTTCTAAACTGCAATTTCTTGTCTCTACTTGTGTACACCACGTGCATATAGAAATATAATTGTGGTCAGGAAATATAGGCCGACAACATTGCAGATTTATTAATTTGGCATATAATTACATTCTGGATAACAATCTCAAATATAATGTGCTAATTTCCATAAAACATGAATATGGTATAAGGACTCAGTTCTGTCATAATTACAGCAGCTGGTTTTCATTGCAATACTTATTTATTAATGTTGAAATACTTTGACTCCAATTGACTTTTGACCCCAGTTCTCTAAGAAAGTCATAAGGCTATCACCTTTAAGCTAAAGACCTAGCTAGCTGCTTGAAATGTGAAGGTGATTTGGGAATGAATTTGAGCTAAAGGTCTTTCTGTGGCTGTTTCCTGTGGTTACTGTGGTTACTGTGACTGCAGCGGCTGAATTTAACAGCAGCCTTCTCCTCACCTACACACTTCCTGGTGTGATGAGTTTGCCCGTCGTCAAATACGATCATCAGTCATGCTCTGTTTAGCCTCTCTGTCTGAAACAAGGCTCAGTGTCTGAAGTCCTGCCAACCAGCTAATCAGCCAGACAACTGCTTCATTAGCCTACGAATAAACACACACACACACGCACTGAAATACACACACACACACGCGCGCACACACACACACACACACACACACACACACACACACACACACACACACACACACAGTTGAGCTGTTTAACTGATGCTCTTGTGAGAGTCAGAACACTTGGCTGGTAAAGTACTCAAATTGGCTCAAAACTTCGAGCCTCTCCACCTCGAGTAAATCTGTATCTTTTAATTGTTTGCACAAATGAGGTCAACATGAACACATTAGCATCAGTTCCAAGGCTGTTTAGTTTACAAGAAGCCCGTGATGTTATGTTATGTAATGGTTTCATGTGTGAGAGAGGTGCTGGAAAGAGACAGCAGAGAATTCACAGTTCATGAGACATGCAGGATGTTCTTATTCACTGTTGTACTCGGTCTGTTTTTAGATTTTCGGGACAATGTGATGTTTCAACTGAACTGAACAGTGAACATCCAGGAGTTTCACGAAAATGACAAGAGCCTCAAACACTTTAAAGGACACACACGTGCACTTTGGTTCTGCATTTTGGGTCAGGAGAGAACATCTTACTGTCAACACAAGACAATGAGATACACAATTGAGTTGCATTGGCCACTTTTCATGTTTGAAAATCAAATCTTTAAGCGGTAATTATGTTACTTTGTCTGCAGTTCTCTGTATCAGAACTGCACCACCTTGTCTGGCGCAGAATACATTGTAAACATCATAAAAGTAATACACTATCAAATTGAAAAGAGAAGTACCACAAACTAACTTAAACTGATTATGAGATGAGCTGTACCAATATCTGTTTTGACCACATTGACTAGCTGGTCTGTCAAATTAAAAGTGCAGAAGTGTGCGTGGTACAGCTTTAGTATGAGCTCCATGGAAACATACTGTTAATATTGAAAGGGCACCGGAGAAGCACAGACCTCCACCGAGGCTGTTTCAACAGTAAAACAGTTTAATGAAAATAAGGCATCAGTTTTTTTCATAATCCTGCTGACAAACCAACAAACTCAACCAAAAACATAACCTCTGTCACCATGAGCCACTGATTGGACGGACAGACGGTTGATTAAAGTTAATCTTTGACCATGCACTGTTCAGTCTGTGATTGACGCAGAGCTCTGCTCCTGTGCCAGGGGAACACACACCTGTCAGCCAGGGGAGGACACCCGGTCAGGTACTTTGGCTGGCCTTCCTCTGTGACGCTCATGTGTTCCCCGAATGACCTCATGGAC